AGTGATCCAAGTGAAGAAGAGATTTGGACCAAGTATGGATACAAGAGAGAGTAAAACAGAGAAACAGGGTCAGGGTCAGGCAGACAGAGGACTGAAAGCCTGCTTGAAAAAAGAGAGACAGAAATCCCAGCATTCAGGAGGCTGAGACAGGAGGATCATTGTGAGTTCGAGACCAGCCTGGGCTACACAGTGAGCTCCAGGCCAGTCTCAACTACATAGTGAGACCCTGTCTAAAAAAAAAAAAAAAAAAAAAAAAAAAGAGAGAGACAAGGAAGGATCATGGAGTCAGGACACAAATCAAGAGGGACAGGGAAAGATGGGGGCACCCATAGATGAGGGCAGAGAATGAGCAAACTGCTGGCAGGCACACAGGGTGGGATTGGCAGGACTTGTGTCTACACAGTGTGAAAGACAAGATGGCAATCATGTGTACAAGACAGTTGGGGCGACAGAGGGCTTGGGGAAAGATCTGGAGAAGAAGAGAGAAAGCCCAAGGGACAGACAGAGAGAAGCCAGTCAGACGGACAGACCCGGAGATGCAGGAGGACACAGAGAGAAGGGCAGACATTTGTGGCAAGAGGACAGAGAGGGAGAAACAGGCAGATGCATCCGGAAAGACAGGAAAGAGATAGAGAGACAGGTGGTCACAGAGAGACAGGCAGGCAGGTGGACAGAGGCCAGAGAAGGCACAGCCCGCAAAGTCGAGTGGACACAGAGGCAGCAGAGTGATGTGTGGGGACCAGACTAGACCAGGACCAGGGGAGAGTCTGACCTGCCAGGGGTTCCAGGCTGAGGGGCTCTGAGGCAAAGCCTAGCAGAAGGGCTAGGAACGGGGCTCCCCTGGCTGGGGTCTCTGCCTGCCACCGCCTCCTAACCCCCCCCACCCGGCGGGCTGCCCGGCGGAGGCGACAGATTGAGCGATGAGACGCATTACGCACTTAATCCGCCTGATTGAATGTTTTGCTTTCGCCCAAATTGAAACATTAAACAACACGGGACGAGAAGAGGCGGCCGCAAATCACTCATGAAAGATTCATCTTCTCCCCGGCAGCCGCTGCCACCCGCCTCCACCGCTGCCCACCCCAGCCGGGAAGCCTCAGGGTGGGGGTGGGGGCTGGGGCAACACCCCTGCCCACTTTGCAGGGCCTCAGCCCACATGGCCCAGGGAAGCCCTTCCCACTGTCTGGCTGTGATCGCACAGGTGGTCTGAGACCAGGACCCCACTTCCCGGCCAGCCTGGGCAGCATGACCTTGGTACTGTCCCTGTTCTCTTGGATGCAGAATCTTTTGGCCCTTTGAGCCCCTCTCTCCAGCTCTCTGGCTGGACCAGCCTCAGACCTTTGAGGCATGTAGTGGCTCCCAGTGTTGGGGGCCTTTCTGGGTTTTGCATCCAGGAGTAGGGGTGGTCCTGGGTATGAGTCCATCGGAGGTGGCCATTAAGTCAGGATGAGTGGAAGTGGTAGACGGACTGCATGTGTGTTCTCCAGCACTCAGGAACTGTGTGTCTGTGAGTCTGTCTGCCTGCACGGGTGGCTGTATTATCTGTCTCTGTCTTGCTCTGTGTCAATGTGACTTGCTTTGTGAGTGTGCCTGTGTCATTACCCCTGTGCCTGTGTATAGGTCTGTGGGTGTTGGTTTGCCTGTCTGCATCTGAGTGTCACTTTCTCTGTGTGCTTCTGTGTGTAGTATTTTTGTGTGGGGTGTCTATGTCAATGTGACTTTCACCATGTGACTTGTGACTTCCGGTGTATGCATCTGTGAGTGCCTGTGTTCTGTCTGTCTGTCTGTCTGTCTGCATTTACATCTCCATGTCAATTGCTCTGGGTCTGTGGGTTTGGATTTAACTACTACTGTGGCTGGGCCTATTTGTGCATCTTCATGTCTCTAAGCCCCTGTGTCTCTGCCTCAGTCTCTGCCTCTGCCTCAGGCCAAGGGGGTACCTGTGGGGGCCAGAGAAGTCACCAGGCCCCAGCGGAGAGAAGCTGGGGGAGAGCAGGCAAGAGAGACAGAGAGAAAGACAGGATAGCAGTGACGCCTGAGAGCAGGGGAGCAGGGAGCAAGCGCGAGGCAGCTGGGGGGGGGACATCGTGGGCGCCACGGCCGGAGCGGGTGATCAATATTCGATTTAGGTTTTAATTCCGGGGCTTTCGGAGCCTGTCAGCCCTGATGTATGAGCTCACACCGGGGCCGCCCAGCCAGCCACCCCACCGATGCCCATGGCCTGGTGGCCTGTCCTGGCCCCAGCTCTCTTGGCCCTTGGCTGTTGGCTTCAGCAGAGGGGAAGGGGATGGGCCGAGTGAACTTGAACCTGGCTGCTCACTCACTAGTGCACCTCCAGCCCCTCCTCCTGCCTCCCCCACCACAAAGCTGGGAGGGAGGCTGCAGGCCCCGGGACCCCCCAGGAAGGCCTGAAGCCTGCTTGTCAGCCCTGGTCACACACATCCAGATGAACACATGCCACTACAAATACTTCTAGGCTCACACATTCCTGTGTACACACAAACCCTGACACACACAACATATGTGTCCATGCACATCCATGCATTCACATGTGGACGCACATCTACAAACCCAGTACACTTGTGTACCCACACGCCTCTGGATTTACATGTGTGTCCGTGGCTGGATCCACACACTGCACTGCACACACAAACTGACACCCATAAATATACAAACCCAATATACATGTATACACACACATCCCTAGACTCACACACGTGCACAAATTCTGACACACGTTCACCCAACACCCTTTGACCTATGTGTCGGTAAACACATTCAGACACACGTGTCCTCATACACAACCTCAAAGCACACAGATCCATAAAGGCGCCACATTAATGGGAAGAAGGAACAATGGGGAGACAGCATTCTGGCAAGAGACAGAGATACAGAAACTAAAAAAATAAAAAAAAAAAAAGACTATAGTGACAGAGACAGAAGAGTCTCACATTGATAAAGAGCAAAAGAAAAACTCAGAAAGTAGGAACAAGTGCAAAGACAGCAGGGGCAAGGGGAGCTAGGAGGACATTGGGGTAGAGCAGGGGACAGGGCTCAGCCAGTGAGGAAGGGGGGATGGGGAGCCCCCTTCTCCAGATGCGCCCCCAACCCTGTCTCTCTCTCAGGAAGATGGATCCACCGCCCTCCCTGATGACAATGCTGTCTGCGCAAACTTTAATTAACACTTTGAGTTAATTAGTTCGAGATCATTTAGGAGTAAAATGTTTTTATTAGGGAGGCTGCGAGCCTGTTGATGGATGGGGCGCGATTCGCTCTTCCGCCTGCGGGGACAGCCGGTAAACAGAAATCAATCAGAGGCCTCCCAACCCAGCGCCCCCACCCCGATGGCGAGCTCCCAGCCTAGGGCCCCGGAGTCCAGACGCCCAGCCTTATCTTCCCCCAGGACCCAGGACTCTGAATCCTGACTCCTCAGCTCCTCCTCCATCAGACTCAAGAGTTCAGGATCTCAGCCCTTCCTGAATGAGACCCCAGGATCCGAGCCCAGCCTGAGCCCCCAAACCCAAGGCTGCAGGCCCAGCCTCCTCCCTCAGACCCGGAATCCAGGCCCAGCCTCCTCCCCCAAGGGGCTCACAGGTCCCAGTCGACCAGAGCCACTCTCCCGCGAGCATCCCAGGCTCTTGGGCACAGAGCAGGTCGCATTCACTCGTGGGGGCGCCCTAGACTGCTGGTCCACCCTTCCCTTTTACTCCCTCTCGGGGTCCCCGGAACTTTGTCTCCTTAGTCGTCTCTCCCTTCATCCGGCCGTCTCATGAGGCCTAGGCGCGGAGACTGGGAGATGTCGGGGTCCGGGCCGCAGCCCCTCGGCCCGGGTGACGGCTTCATCAGGTGTCCGCGGCGGGGGCGGGGGTGGGCCAGGCG